CACAGAAAATGTAACTAATACATAAAAATATCAGAGATGCTGAACACAGTTGTCTAAGGCAAGAAATGTCCTTGCATACTCCAACACTTGAATCATGGGTTTGAATCCCACTTGAGGCATGGATGTATGTATGTGTGCATCCTTTTTGTGTTTGTTGTCCTTTGTGGGTAGCAGCCTCATAACAGGCCGATCCCCTTTTCCAGGACTCCTACCAACTGTCTGCAAGATTCACAGTTTCAAATTAATTCTGAATTGGAAAAGACCAGAGGACCTGTTCCAACTAAAGAAAACTAATATTGATAAGACATATGTCACTAAATATTTTCTGTTAGTACAGATTCCAACAACCCAGAAGTTGTCAAATATAAGCTCAAGTTTTCAAATGTAAAAGATATTTATAATTTTCAATGTAAAAAATGTAAAATTCAAACTGCTGTTAATCCTGTGATCCATCTTCACCCCGAACTTTCATTAATTAGTGTCACTAAACGAAATTTAAACACTAATTTCATGTGACTGACATATTATTTTACATTCTACAACTAAATTACCTTAATCTTAGTTGCAGTTTTGGTCATAACATTTCAAGACCTCATATTAAGCAGTTCCATGCTGGTAGTTTCCTTCAAACATAAGTGTAAGATTTTAATCAGGGTTTGTGGTTAGCAAACGGACTGCAGTCATGTGTACTAAATTTAGATATGCAGTTAGGATTTTAACTGTGACATAACTAAAAATCATCAATTTTGGCACATAAAATCTGGATCTTCTTTATGTGCAAGATACTGTGTTCCTTGTTTAACCTACATCTGTGAATTTCACAAAAAATTGACCTTACAAACTTGGGTAAAATGAAGTTAACAATCAGTAGTCTTGCTGCCAGCACTATAGCAAAATAGATGAAAATGAGCCAAGTTGTATTTTTTAAGAATAATTTAGCTAAGATGCCTCTGATATTGAATCTATACATTATTTATCAGAAGGCAGTGATAATATTCAGATAAATAAAAGAGCACGATAGAAGAAATGAAGAAACAGTTACAGTATATCAGTTCCAATTGTTTCAATTTCTGGTTTGAACTGTGTTACTATATCCATCCATATTCTAAATAATTTCACTGTTCAAGTCTATTACATACAGATGAATTATAGAACATTATTTTGTTGTGGTTGAGCAGTTACCATTGCTACTTTGTATTTGGAAAGTCTCTGGTTAAAACATTTCACAAAGAGATTCATATCCTGACCGGGAGTTTTCGCGGTTTTTATCAGCCTTCCACATCACTTCCAGTATCCCATTCAAAACTCTACCCTAGCATTGATGTTACACAATGAGCATAGTTGACGAAAAGATAATGAATGAATCAAAATTATTTTTGTATAGCAAAGCATTGACACCAATAACACAATCCAGGAGAAGGGACCACAACTCAACTACCAGATGTCACTACAGATGAAGTCATAATTTTATAGTTCCAATATGTGCAATATAACAGGTCACAAAGACTGTGACATGCTATAAGAATACTAATCAATTTTTTATTTACTTATTCTTGGTTTAGTTGCCAATGTTCTGGGTTGCTCAGATTACATGGCAACATATGACAGTACATTTAGGGAACAATGAATTTGAATGGATGTGGCAGGAAGCAGTTATGACATAATTTTGAATATCCCAGCAACTACCTAAAGGGACTAATGAAAACAAAAACATCAGGCAGGATCAAGTCAATTTTTTAACACAAGACCTATTAAATAAAAAGCAAGAATTCTATGCACATCACCGCAACATTGAGTCAATAATAACATCGATAAGCTGACAAGATATACTGTCATAATTCAGGGATGTGAGTATATGTGGAGTATAGATTGGTGAATGGATTTACTGACTATTTATATGCACAACTTGGAACTACATGTAATTACAGCACTATTGTTAATCTCCACACTTTACAAATCACCGCAGCACCTGCTAAGCCTTTTTTCCAGCCTGCTGTGTCTTCATCAGCCATTCCTTGACAGACAGAGGCTTCTAACGGTGTAGATTCTTCAGTTTCATATGCTCAGGTTCTATAGCCTCCTGTGCAGAACTCAACTCTCAACTGACAACTGACAGCTCACTGGGGCACCCCAACTGTCTTCAACATAACGCATAGGCATGGACCACAAAGAAAGCACCCCCATTTACATTGCTGTAGTCCAACTGTTTCAGCCGAATAGCAAGGGGTTGCATAACAAAGTTTCCAACAGTAACTCTATTGTTGTAGGGACATGTTTACCGTGCTGCTGCACAGCAACAGCTGTTGTCTCATTGTTTGTTTCAAGGTCTTTGCCTAGCAACAGGTCTATGTGTCGTATTATTAGAATCCATTTTACTAAACAAATCATGGAACATGACCAGTTTTACATATATTGAGATATTTTTCACTTTGAAAATAAAAAAAAAATCCACAAGCAGAATGAGATATGATGGGAGACCGATGCAGACCAAAAACTTTTTCAAATAATTTCACAATATCTATTCCATATTTTATGACCCTACAGAAAATTTGGCTGTGGCTGATATAGCTGTGAAATCCAAGGAAAAAACTGCTTTTTGGCAGTTCATCCCAAGATGTGAAAAGATATGGAACAACACTGTGCAAACTTTGTGCTAGCAAGGGACACAGACCTACAAATGGCATGACCCATTATAAACACAGTTTTCCTCAGTTTTACTCCTTCAAACTTACACGCCTGGAAACTAACCAGCTATGGTACTGTTCTTCACAAGAGAATCAGTATGCAAACAAAATTTGTGCCAAAGATCTTGAAACTGAAAGAGGGGACTCATATACACACACATGACAAACATAAAGCAAAAGTGCGGTTTGTGAACTGGTTCTTATTCATTTATTTTCACATTCATTGCTCATTTATGAAACAATAATTTCAACAGCTTCAGTACATCTTCTCAGATGATAGTGTCATGTGTTTGGGTGACTAAGACGTGTGTTTGGATTGGTAATTGGATTTATTAACAACCTAAAGTCATAACTACAAATAATTATTACTCTCTTGCTGATTTACACAACGTACATTCACTCCGCACTACTCTCTTCGGTCTATCTCCACTAGTCTTCACAGATCTATAACACAGGAACTATAAAAGTCTCCCTAAATCACACACTCCCAATACCACTGGACTACACCATATATAAAGTCTTCAAATCACATGTTAAATCCTCAAAGGCCAACCTCCTGTACTCTTCTGTACTCCTAGTCCCAATTTACTCGGTTCGTGTTGCTTCCACCACGACTATTTTTCATAACTGCCCTCAACTGAACTCTGTCACTGCCTTGGTTATTCTTGCAACCTTGCATGGACCACAGAGAAAACACAATTCTACCATAAGAACCATTCAACTTATTTATTGGGCCNCTGAAACATGTTGTGAACTGTATCTGGGCGTTGTCCCTGAAGTTCTTTGATTGTTGTGTTGTGACGGCCCAATAAATAAGTTGTATGTATTGTAACACAGCAGGATACATGAAATGAAAATTATAAGAACCATTGTGTAACCTAGCAACTGGTCACAGAGAACCCCATTCCTACTGTTGCTTGGAGCGGATGACACAGAAATGAATGAGAAAACTCTTCTTCCACTTAGCAGTTCTATCCTGAACATTTCATAATTCATTGCTCATGAGAGAATAAACTTGGCAGCTGTGTGACTCATGATGCAATATGTTACTATTGCAAAAACTGTGATTTTGTTTCCTTGTCTATATACATTTCAAGTTTGTGTTAAGAGGTAATGCTTTGACTTGTATTCAGGTTTCAGTCTCAGCTGAGACACTATCATGACAGGTTTCACATAATTTTCCTGTTACTCCAGGAAAACACTGGGGCAGTACCTCAATTTAGGTCATAACTACCTTCCAAATTCCCACCAGTTCATTATCCACCAATCATTCTATCATTCCATCCAATTCAGCCTGAGCTACTGACAGCTTGGTTAAATAAATTATAAATAAATAAAATTATTACTCAGATGCATTACTGTAATTATTTATGAAATTCTGAGGCTGTCACTTCGTTATTATGCCCAATGTGAATTGCTTGGATGAAATTTCAAACAGTGGGTCAAGTATTAGTGTGTGACCTCACCCAATAGATTATATTAACAGAACTGAAAGCACAATTTCTCATATTTCTAAGATCAATAGCATGACACAAGATGTCTCTAAATGGATAAATAGTTCCAATAGTGTTGTCACCTCAATAGTCCACACAGCTGCCAAGTCAGTAACATTAAGAGTAAAAAAGCCATAACGGCTTGGCATTCACATCTACGTTCATGAAAATATTCTACTTTTTTCTAGAATGCATTATTAACTTTCATGAAAATGTGTTACATTATTCTATGTGTTATTTATATTTTTTGGCTTGTNTTAATAAATGAATGTGCACAAACTAAGAAACTGATAATTTAATTTCATCTGCCTTTCTGTATGGTTGATACTTAAATTTCTCATATTGCTAAGATCAATAGCATGACACAAGATGTCTCTAAATGGATAAATAGTTCCAATAGTGTTGTCACCTCAGTAGTCCACACAGCTGCCAAGTCAGTAACATTAAGAGTAAAAAAGCCATAACGGCTTGGCATTCACATCTACTTTCATGAAAATATTCTTATATTATATTTAAGCATCCTGTTGCACTCTACACGATAAATGATACAAACTCCGTCCTAAGTGCAAACAATATATATTTATATGTCTTTGATCTTGTTCTTTCTACACTACATGTTTCGGCCTCTATCGGCCATCATCAGGTGTATACTCTTAACGTCGCTGCCACACTGAACCCAGTCTAAAACTTAACATTTAAAAACACAATGTCATATTATTTTTATTATCAACATCTACATCGTTGATATGTGTCTGGTATGTAGATTATGT